CGCTGAGAACAATAAGCTTAAAACTGACAACGATGAAGATTCAGCCAAACAAGTACGAGGAATCAAGAAAAGTCAAGGATGTGGAAGAAACAAAGCTGAAATTCTCAAACGATGTCGAGGAGTTGAAATCAAAAATAATTGCCTTGGATTCAAAAGTAATTGAGGTTAGTTTGTTTACCTTGTCATATCGAAATTTGGGGTGGGAGGCAATTTTGAAGCTGCATATATTTCATTCTTGTGAAGTATATGCGAATAATATTAAGATGGTGACAAAAATTTTGACTTCCATGACAATCGTTTCAGGCCCAAAATACCATCTCGAAGCTAGAAGAGGAGAAGTACCATTCATGAGAATGAAATATTAAAGCAAGAGTTGGTTAGTATCATATTCTCACCTTTTTTTATTATATAGGTTAACCTCATTATACCGTCCCTTGAATGCTCCATCTAAAAAAATCGACACCAAACAGGCCATAAGCAAATAGATAAGCTTTAAAATAAAATATTTTTATATTGATTGAAGTTTCCAGTTGCTAATCAGTAAGTACTTTATTCTGGCTTGTCAGCATGTTTTGGAGTTGTTTATAATCAGTTTAAATTGTAAATAAATAAAAATAAAGTGGGTAGTACTTGTGGGATCCACGAAATTTGTATTTAAAAAGTGATTTGATAGTTCCAAACAAGGGACGATTGTGTTATATATACATTATAACTTACATATTAGTTTACCAATAGATGATATTGTGAGATTAAATTAGGCCAAAATTTCATCAACCAAATTAAAAAATAAATAAATAAATTCTCCTCTTTGACACCTCATCAATCTATAAAAAAAATATGGAAATGGTAATGTACTAAAAAACATTTTCCAGCAAAGGAACATAAGGGGAAAAAATGTGTGGTTGAAAAGAAGAGAGAGAAAAATGCATTTTGAAAAAAATGGGTACCAAACAGAGTCTTATTTCCCAATATTAGAGGGGGAGGGGGGGGGGGAACATATTCTAGACATGTATTCTAGTCATCAGGGTATGCCTAAACTGCATGCAACGTATTCTAGACATGTATTCTATTCATTAGGGTATGCCTAAACTGCATACAATACTGCTACCAGGGAATTAAAATGCCTTGACAGCATATGTCGATGTCATATTTTCTTAAATTCTTAGAACTTCTGCTACTACATTCCCTACAAGGATAGAGAACTCGTCGGTCTGGAAGCTTCGAGAAAGTCAAATTCTTATCGCCACAACTTGTAATCCAATAAAGGACCATTTACTCAAATAAGGATCACGACAACGCAAAAAAGATATGGCATGGCTATAAATTACTATTGGATTCTGATATTAACTCATGTACGAGAAGAAAACAATATACAATAGTATGGCGTTTATCTAACATTCCAGTTTCCCACACAAACTATTAGGTAAGTGAGCATCACAAAACAAATAATTTTACAATCCTTGCTATTCTATACATCCGCTTGATCTCAATAACGAAATCCACTATAATATTAACAAATGAAAGCCAAAATTGATCATGTACAACATATCTAGTAACACAGGGCTGATGATCTAATTCAGTGTTCTTTCAGCTCTTTCAGGTTCTTCTGGAAAACGATGCACACTTCTTTCGATTGGCGAGCCAGGTATGAAAGGAACGAAACCACGTCCGCCAAAAACAGGACGCATGAAAGCATTATCGAATTTTCTCCAATAATAATGGACAGTACGAGGGGATAGGAGCATCCGTAAACTGTTTGGACGGGGCACATTTTGGTCAACTCCACTAGCTTCTGAAGTTTGTCCGTTTGTTATGCTTTGTCCATACAGATTAGTTAAGGAGTCCTGCTCACCACCAAGAAGTGGCAGCGTGATGGAATGTGGGGTAACAGGCTCCGATGAAATCATTCTGGTTAATTGTTTTGATGAAGGCAGTAAGAACCTCACCAGAGGTTTAGTGATCAAGCCAAACACCTGCAATAGACCCGAAAGGCCATATGTTCATATCCTTTGATAATAAATGAAGTATAAAAGTCATGTATTGAACTATCTCATCTACAAGTTTACAATGTCTCTAAATTTATTATTGAGCAGATAAAGGTCCGGTATTCAAGTCTTGGAGTCTCCAATTTAAAAATTAAGCATGCATTTTGTCTTAGGCGAGGTGTTCCAAACATTTTGGGATTGCACTAAGTGAAAATTACAAAATTAGGAAGATAGATTTCCAAAGAATGCTAACCCAATTTGTGTATCCTACCAAGCAGTTTTCAAAAGCTTGAGATGTCTTACCACGGTGCTGAAAAGAACAACTATAATGGTACTGGTAATCATGATAGCATTATCACGTACATTGGTGTGCCCCGAACTCGTAAACTGCACGAGTGAAATGCAAAACTGAGTTAGAATTCCTACGATATGGAATACAAACTTACCAACCCTTTATCCTTTCATGGAACACGTCAATAGAACAGCATTATCAATCCACGCAAAGGTCATAGAATTATTTGTGAATCTTGAAGAAGGGGAAAGGACTTGAACATAATGTTTTAATAATTAAGATTAAGCTCCTATTTGATCCACATTCTTTCAAAAAAAAAATACATTCTTAAACAGTTATTTGACATCATTTCAACCACACATTCTTCAATAAAATAATATTACACGCAAGTCCAAAACTATTCTTTATTTTTTAACCACATATTTACCATCAATACACTATTCAAAAATACATTCTTATGAAAATAATGTGGGTCAAACAAAGGCTAAATAACGGTATTCATTTAACAATAAATCTTCGGTAGTTTAAATGATTTTCAGTTGCAAATATTTTTAATGAAAAATTCGAAAGCAACAACTCAGTTCGACTGGGAATGAACTAGAGCAAACCAAACTAAGTACCAATAAGAATTCTATCAAAAAAAAAAAAAAAAACACCAAATAGTTCCATGTAGGGTAATTGAACTAAAATAGACAAGAACCGACTTGTTCTGGTTTAGTTCATTCCTATTATTGTCACAATTCAAAAAAATAGCTCGAGTGTCGACGTGTATATTTTCTTATTTAACTTTCTTAGATCCAGTTTTAGGCAACAAAAGTATAGATTGTTCAAAAATTGTGAAAGCACTTTCGGCATTGATAAAAGTTGGGGAAACCATTCTATTTCACTGAAATAGTCATAGCTAATAATTTACCTGTTTATAAGCAAGCGCCATCGAAACAGCACCTCGCATAAGACCAGCCCACCATATTGTAATCTGCAAATCACAAATGGAAGCATTGTTAGGTAGCCCAAACAAATGAAGAATGTTGTATAGTTGAAATGATTATTTCTGAGCTCGTACTTGCTTCTTAAAGTCGATTTTCTTATATGGAGACTTCTTGGTCAAGTTAGACAGGAACGATAGAGGAAAAATGAAGGCTGCTCGTCCAACTAAAACCAATCCCAACAGAATTCCACTGACAGAAATTGACGTCTTCAGGCTGACAATAAATAAAAAGTCAGTAATGTTTTTCTAACCAAACAGCATACAAAGTCTCTTCTTCTATAGCAAAGTTCATGAAACTACATTATGGTGGCTAAGCCTCCATTTGAGAAAAAATTATAAAAGGTTTAATTTATAAATAGATAAAATTGAGTGATGGATACTACTTGTGGATCCAATGGATTGTATAGTTAAAATGAAGTTTGATCATTTATAAATGATCTATAAATTTTGCCAAGCGGAGGCTAAAAATTTCATCCACATATAAGCCATACCTGCTACTTACAATACGCCACTTCTCAATGTCCAGAGCATCCATTCCAACATAAAGAAATATGAATATCTCAGCAACAAATGACAAAGTGGCAAAGGTGTGCCTGCAGAATAGTTGAAGATACAAATCAATAAGAAACGTCAATTTATTATGAAACTTAGGGTATGGGAAGTGTCATAAGCAACAATGTAGTCTAAAAGTTTTATTTTGTGACAAGGTAATGCCATACTTGGTGGTGACTCTTGAGTTCTCGGTGACATTATGCCAAGTGTAGTGTGACATCACAATGCCGCAGAAGAACACAGTGAGTATAGCGCTTAAATTGAATAACTGCACGACATATTATGGCCAAAAGAAACTTTCATCTGTTAAATTGGAACACTAGGTAAAAGCTTCTTAAAAGTTACCAAAGAAGAATGCCAAGTTCTATAAGCTCCTTACAAGTTGTGCAAAATACTTACTTCGGACAGCATGTAGGAAAGGTATGCCAAAAGCATCATAATGGCAACCTCACGATCTGTGGAATGCCTGTAGTTAATCAAACAATTAGTGAAAATTAGATAATAGTACTGGTGAAGAATAGGTCTTCGTCTTAACAAATGATTTCTTTTAACATATCATGTCGATCTATCAGAAAAATATCGATGAACATCCTGCAATTCATAAATTCATTAAGTGGTGTACTGGTCGTATGAAATTTGTATATATCTCGTCCCATCCAGGTTCAATTAAGTAGGCCTAAAAGCCCTTATCTGACTTATTCGATCAAAAATAAAAATGCACATATATATGGTGCACAAAAACTTGATGATTTTGTTGAGAAATTATGAGACATGAGAACTTTGTGAACTCTTGTGCAAACTTAAATTTGTTGGGAAAAGAAAATAACAAGTATCAACTTCAACTTAAATTAAGTCTGAAAACAAAATAACATGTATGGATATCCTCACAAACCTTCCAAAGTAGAGCTTCTTTATGACGTATGCACTAAGCAGTCCAGCCTGCAGCAGATGAAAAATGTGACAAATTACATAATTTTGAAGAATTTAGAAGCTTAAACTCACAACACACACTAACTGGGGGGGGTGAATGAATAAATACTCACAACAACTCCCAATATGGTGCTTGTTATGAACAAATACAAAAAATTCCCAAATAGCTCCAAAGCTATAGTGGTGTTTATATGAGTCAGGTCAAGGTTCTGGACTGCATTGAAGAGAACCACGGATGTCGCATCATTTACGACTCCTTCCCCAAAGACTAGACTGTACAACAAAGGTGTCTCATCCTGATTTAAGACCTGTAGTATCAGATATAATGCATCAGGCAGTGAAGCAAGATTTTCAGTTCTGATTTCAACAGCATAATGCCACAAAATTTACCTGCAAGGTGCAAACTGAATCTGTTGCAGCGAAAATTGCTCCAAGTGCTGAAGACGTTTTTTTTTAGTTTGGAACAAAAACAAATGCGCTATTGTGTGTAAAGACATGGACACGTGTGTCCAACACAATACGTGTTAGATACACTGACACGCGATTTTTCAGAAAAGTATCGACATGACATGTTGTCGACACGTTGATTAAATTCATTAAAATTCTTCATTTATACAGTATAATTTTAATTTTATACTGAATATTAATTTTTCTTGTTGAAATTTTTTAAGTAGGAATACCTATTTATTATTTACTAATAACTTTAAATTAAAAATATATAATATTTTTAATAATAAAGAAAAATGTTTATGATAAATTGTCCGAGGAGTATCAGAATCAACACTGTCGGATAAGGACAGGCTACTCCAGTTGAAGTGTCCGTGCTACAGAGGGCTACAATGTGCGCGCGCATGTGTGTGTGAGAGAGAGAGAGAGAGATAAGTACCAAGATATTCTCCAATTGACAGGTTAATATCCATTTGCTGGAGAAGGCCAATAGCACCTGTCACAGAGTTTTGAAGATGTAGGCCACAGCACAATCATTTACATGTGAACAGATGAGATGAATGTTAAATAAATTTATAGAAATATTCAGAACTCAAGAAATTCTGGAAAAGCAATTATCTTCCTGTTTTTCAATTTTTATTCTTTAATTCATTCCCTTCAAATTTTCCTTCCGATCCTCAAAATCAGTGTTGTTCAAGACAAGCAAGGGGGGCAAATATACAAATGTCCCTTGTCATGCATCACCCCATCTCTCTCCAAAATCCAAAAGAAAGAAGAGACTAATTTGGCTATTGGAACATGCTATTTAGATGCTAGAATTAGGTTCTAAGAGAGGAACCGAAGTTCAATTGAACTGACACACAGACATATATTGATGGAAAAGAAAGCCTTCCCTGCGTGCTGTTTTCCTCCATGACTGAGAACAGATTTTCTTAAAGGGGTCCTACGACATGCATAAGTATAGCATATCAAAGCACATAAGTAACTCTATCTGTAGCTGTTGAAGTCCAAATTTTAAATGAATAAATATGGCATCTCTATAACAACTTAGGCTTTTTGATAAGATGGTTAATAAAGTAGAGCAACAAAAAATTTCTAGGTTTACATCTTGCCAACGCGCATTAATGAAAATTTTGCACATAATAGGTCTTTGATGAAAATTGATCATTGCCTGCACGTAAAAGGGCGTGTTGAGGATCAAATTTAAATATACAAGCACTGCCCACATCTAACACCTTAAGTTTTTAGATGAGGTCATTAATAGTAGCAGAGTAGACAACTTCTTACATGTGAAAAATTAGAAAAAGTAGAATCAATACTCGTTAAAAAGTATGCATCAGCCATCTAAGATGATTTATTTATTTTTCATTATCGTTAAATCTGTTTAGCTCTTTCCATAAAGATCCGAAAGAGCAAGAGAGCATTAATGTTATTGTTGTTAGATATTAGCAAAATATTGTTAGACTAGATATACAAGAAAAGGTAAATGTGCATACCCAATGATATAACGACGAATGAAATCAAAGTACCAATTGCTCCAAACAGCATTATAGTTGAGAAATTGCGAAAGAATTGTTTCTTTTTGACCTGGAACCTGATGAATAGTGTAAGTAAAAAAGAACAGTACTTAATATAACCTGTGCAAACCATTACAAATTACAAAACATAGGTAGTAATCATCCGATATTATTAAAGTAACATACTCCCTATTCTGAAGGTCTACAGGGGCTCACAAAGGTTAGCATTACTGTCTGAAGCAACAAAAGGGTAACAAAAGTAGGAATACTCATACTCAACCTACAAAAATATAGTAAATGTTTCTTGTAAAATGTTCCAATTCAAAAAATTTGTGGAGGAACAAAAGTGCAAATCGTATAGGAGAATTAATCTCTTCAAAATTTTCCATTCTTTGTCTTGAATTTACATCACAGTTTCTTAAATTCTACAGAAAGAAGAAAGATTGGAAAGTATAAAACACTTAACCTTGTCAGCTATGGTTGAACGCTGACCCCTTAAGAAGATAAAACATTTGTTAAATTGTGTGAGCATGCAAGAAGCGTGTGTAGTAGGCCTCTCTTTTTTTTTCTTTTTTCTTTTTTTCTTTTTTGTGTGTCTTCCCTTCGAGGTTTCACGGTTCCTCCAATACAATAACTATTCATTTTCCATACTGCTGATGAAATGTCACCTCTTAAGCTACTCTCAATTTCTACTGCAAATCGTATAATCAAAACTGAATTTTGAGAATAAAAGAGGTAAAACACTCAAGTACTTGGCCTCATCTAAGAATGAATTCTTGGATGTCTTGCAGAGCGAAAGAATTTGAATATAAATATCTAAAGACAAAACAAAAAATCAAGATTGTACTTTTAAAACGAAGAACAATACGTTGAAACGCCTGACATACCCAGCATTAAAAATGATTGGTGGAAGAAGATAAATGAAGAAAAGATCTTCGCTAAAGATCAAAAGACGTGAGCTTTTTCCACCACTTATTAGTAGAATCCCAACTCCAGTGCATACACCCTGTCATTTAAATCATGCGCTATTACATAAATATGTGAAAACACGGATGAATAAAATAAGCGCTCAACACCGCTAACATGCTACATATATACTTACAATTAAAAGGGCCGTGATGGATTCATTCATCCAGCGATTTTCCTCCAAGAGGTGACCGATCACAATACATGCGCAAAGGAGTGTGACAAATAAGGTAATGGCAACCACTGAAGTTTCATCAGTGACCGATAAGATGTTCATCTTTTGTAGCGTAGTTCCCAAGTCAAACCCCATTTGTTTGGAGACTTAAATTACCGGATAGTATCTAAATTCCTGGCAGATCTCACTTCAATGTTTTAAAATCTGATCTCTGAATCTCATACAATAAACTGAAATTAGCTCTCACAAAGCAAATTTTCCGTGCCATACAGGAAAAAGTACGATTTTAAAATTATTGAGTCGATTAATTCAAGAAAGCTCAACTTTGTTAATTTAACAGGAGAAGCAGAAGCATAAGCATACAATTTTAGTTTCTTTCTTTCTTGATTTATTTTTTTTTATTTTTTTTGTGGCACGCATATGTATTAAACGTGAAAGTACACATCCAGATTAAAACAACCCAAAAATCAACTTTGTATGTAGTTGCTTCAAGGACAAACATACATTCGCTTTATGTCTAAAAAGTACAGAAATGTAAAATTCGAGAAAAATACATGAAAAATGTGCTGTGAAGTCAAAGCTATATCTCAATTTCTGAAGCTGATCAACTCAAATATAAATAAAAATTGCTTTTCCTCTCAAAATAAACACACATCTTCAAAAAATCACACAAACTCAAGAACTCAAAGTCGACTTACTTTCTCTAACATCAGAAAATAATACCGATGAACAACGAACTGCAGAATTCAAAGTCAGAATGCAGATTCAACCTATTTCGAAAAATCACTTCATTTAACTGAAAAATCCAAGCTTCCTTTCCCCAAACCAAAATTAACGGAACATTAAAGCAGGTGCAACTAAAAGTGACGGATTTGAGACTTCTCTTCAATTTCACGAAATTATTTTACAAAAAGATTTAGCTTGAAACCAACTGATAATTCTAGACAGGAAAAATGATCGAGGGACCAATTGTGAAAGGAGAATAACTGTAATATGTGAAAGAAAAACTGATGTATACCTGGAACTAGACAGGCCGTTCGATTTGTGGACCTATTCCTCATTTCAGCCGTTTGATTTGTGGGTATAACTATTGAAATCGTTTGCGTAATAATGGAAATTTGGTGATCCCTATTCCCCACTATGCCCTTTTAATTTCTATTATTTGACCATTAAAAAGAATAATATGATCGTTATTTATTATATTAAACTACTATATTTGAATTTATATATTTTTTGTGGTGTCCATAACGATTATATTTTTCATTGTCATTCTTACATTAATGAAAAACAAACGGAACCTATGTACAAAGGGAAATGGGGAGCAATTGTAGTTAGAACAGTGATTTTTTTCATTTTATCACACTATAATAAATTCTCTTTTTTCCATCGTAGGAACAAAAACGACGTCGTTTTGTCTTCAATCATTTTTGTGATTGATAGAGTGACATAATAGAAAAAGAATGTGAGTGTAGTAAAGAAAGAGAATGTCAATTAATAGAAAAAGAAGAATTTGAAAATTTTATAGAAGAATATGAAGAATATTATGAAAGTTTTAAAGAAGATGAAGAATCATGCTTAGAATTTGTAGAAATAGAAAAAATTTATAATCTTTTAGTAACAGAACAAGATATAGAGTTCTTAGCTTAAAGAAAGGAGGAAAAATGAAAAATAAAAATTTTTTTGAGCAGAATGCATGGACTACACTCTCCGTGCACTCTATAGTGCACGGAGTGCTCTCAATTTTTTTTTTTCATTTTTTTTTCTCATTCCTTACGTGATAAAATGATATCATCTCATTTATTTACTTTACATTTCTCTAATTGTTCTTATATGTCTCTGTCGATGTTCATTTTCTCCATTTCTTCACGCTATCATCCATACCTCTACTCCATCCTCCACGCAACCAGGTTTGAGAATTTTTGGATATTTGAAGTATTTCTCGTTTTCGTATTTTACCATAGTTTATGTCATTTAGAAACATGTATTCGATACTTAGCTAAGTTAAAACTCCAAGTTTATTATAGGGATGTAGTAGCTATGGGATTATTATGTGTTTTTATAGAATTCGAATAGATGAACCAATTTCTGGATTGTAGAATGTGTTGTACATCCATCTTATACATTATGATCAGCTCATCCTTTAGCATGCTGATAATAATACTACTTTTACATTACTGCTAAATATGTTATCAATACTCATATTCAGCAGTAATACTATTTTTATGTCACTGCTGAATATGAGCAGCTCACCCTTTAGCCTGCTCATAGTAATACTTCTTTTGGTTGTTCAAGTGATCGTGGAAGTGACCAATGATTAAGGCTTATAGATGAAAATGATGAAATCAATGTGACTATTTAATATTTTATGCTTAATACACCTTTTTTTTATAATTCCAATGATTACTTGGCATTTTTTATTGGCGATTATGATGTGAAAGTTGAAACTTTTAAATTTGATATTATTGTTTTCTTCAATGTTGTTGACTTATTTTAGATTTAATAATTGGATTGAGTTATATTTGATTTTGTTGATTGTAATTGAGTATTTCTGTGAATTATTTTTATTATTTTAAAAAGTTTGCTTCTCATTCTTAAGAAACTATTGATTTTCTAGATATAAATGTTCAGTTTTATGCTGTTTAATAAATTATTGAACAAATTTGCTATTGAATATACTGTTTAAGAAACTATTTTATTCAACAGCATAATCCTATAGTTACAAAAGTGACAATTTTGATCTTCAACAGAGAATCTACAATTTATAAGCTAATGAAAACACAATAAATACAAAACTTATGCAACGCACGTGACATAAACTAGTTATATATAAAAACTTAAACAAAAAAAGTTGGTATTTAGCATAACTAAGATTATTTTCGTTAGGATATAATTGTCTTCCATCACTCTTTTTTTTCAATCAAAAGAAAAAGAGATAACAATCAAGTGAAATCGATTTTAGAATTACAATTGTAGGTTTCATGTTAGAGTTAAGATGCTACCATCGTACTCTATAAATAGATGAAAGAGAAATTGTCCCGATTCAATATTTCTTGAAGTGCTTGTTACACTTAGTAATACGTAAAAATGTCCATACGTCTTTGGAAATATTTATAATATAATGGATTAAAATGTGAAATCATATCAAGACAAACATGATAGAAGGAGCAACTTATTTTTACATCTCTAAGTCAACTTATTCCAAACACTGTCGAGCAATAAAATTATATTCTTGTGACTATCTAATTGTCAATTTTCAAAATAAAATCTTAAAATTACATTAATAAAATTTCAAACTCATCTAAAATAATTAAATAAAAATATGTCAACAAGTATCTCGTTAGGCTAAGGTTTGAAGCTTCCATGTGTTCCCCACATAGGTCTCTTATTCTACAAGGAATAAAAAAATCCATTACTTCTTGTGGCAATTATTCAAAGAGGTCCTTTCAAAATTGGCAAATTATATTTGTCTGATTCTTGAATCCCTTCTAAACCATTCATTATGTTGAAGTGCATATTAATTTGTTTGTGTTTCATATTTTGTTAAAATAAAGCAATTGAAGTTTACGCGACAATGCCACATTAGCGTAATAGGAATAAGTAAATTACGTATAAATATAATAAGGAAAGAGTTTATTTTTATAAAAAAAAAATATCATACAAAATTTTTTTTTTTGAAAAATTAAGTATGTAATTTTTTTAGTTTTACTTTTATAGGCAAGCATTTTCTGAAAGGAAGTTAAGAGTTGTGATACTCGAGTAATCATTTTGGTATCACAATCGTCCACCATTTCTTGAATGGAGGCTTCCTTTCTAATAAATATGCTCTCCTACCAATGGAATTTTGGATGTAGAGAATTTTCACGTATGACGAACTTCAATAATTGTTTTGTAACAACATAAAGCTTCTGTTTAGTGGAGACTAAAATCAGTTTTTTAATAAATTTTGATAAAAATTGATGAAATGTGGGGTTAAAAAGTTGTGAATATCATAAAATATATAATAAATTTAATTGTTGACTTTGACTTGAATTAAAATCTCTGCAAAATATGGACAAAAATTTCATTACGAATGGAGTGTGTAATTGTACTTCTAACCATTTCTTTTCTTCGATGGATATTTTATTATTATCAAATTTTAGCACCATATGAGTTGTATTTATTTCAAAAGATTCACTTAAAAAAAATAATTAAAAACAATGATAGAAAAGATAGAGATGCAGCTTGCAAAAAATGACTTTTTATTTGACGTTTTTATGTTTTAGTCTTCTACGGATTCTTTATTTGTTGGTGTAGTGTCGTTAGGCATAGACTCTTGAAGCATTTTCATACATCGTGTTAGATGGTCACTCACATCAATCTAAATTGGAAATCAAGTAAATAAATGAAAAGTCTATGAACTTCGTCCCCCAAGCTAAGTTCGAAATGACATAAAACTTGTTAAAGTAGTTAGCTAGAGGTTCTTGCCCAAGGGCTCGTCTAATAGAATTGACGACTTAAAAATTCTTCAGACGATAAATATTGCAAAATTTTAGTTGAGCATTTATGTATTGTTCCTTGGGACATTTGAAACTTAATCACATATTAGGAGTTTAAATAAAATTAAAATGATAGATTGTTTCATCATTAACTGAACTTTAGGTCGTGTCCCTGACTTCTAGCTGAATTTAAAGTGTTGCCTCAAGGTCACTGAACTATTAAAAATTCTCCTCGTTTATCACCCATTATGATTATGTTTGTTGAATTTAACAGAACTATCGAGTTGGCAAACAAAATTCACATGTGACGCTCAAGGGTTAAATCCAACAATGACCATCAAACTTTTTATTTAGTGTCACCATAATCACTCAATTTGATTTTGATTCTATGATTACCCAACTTTATACTTAGTGTCATCATGATAACCCAATTTGATTTATTTTTCTTGATTTTTTAATTTTAAATTTTATTTGTCAAATTTTTATATTTTTATTTAAATAAAATTTTATTTAAACTCTTGTTTTCCATATTTTGAATGTTTTCAGAATTTTCATTGAAAATATTCAAAACGCCAAAAATGCATTTTGAATTTTATTTTATAAATTTATCCTTATTTTCAGATATGTATTTTCATAAATACCTAATCAAACATTTTTTCATTATTTAAAAAGAAAAACTAAAAATTACTTGAAAATAGTAAATCATATGCACCCTAATTTTCATAAAACAAAGACAGTACGACAATGATATTAAACTCACCATCTTAATAAATTGTGCCAATAGGAATACGCTTCCTTTTACGAAAATGGTATTGCCTCCCTACAATTCAAGACCCATTAATGATTGTGTGTCCTTTTTGTCAATGGCTGTCTCATATCTCCATTAATGATTGTGTTTGTGTGTACTTCACATGGATTATTTCATGGAATAAAGATATTTTAATAGAGCCACGTCCACCTTGTTCAAATAGGAGACAATGTTGGCCCCACCTATAGGGTGGCACCATATCGACCCTATGAACGGACAGAGCCGACGTGGCCCAATCCGTTTAACACGATTGTATTTCATGGGATCAAAGTTGCGAATATTAATTTCTAAATAAATTTTAGAAAGGATAAAAATGAGAATTAACATAAAAGGACACACAATTAGAGGTGAACATGGTTCGATTTGGACGGTTTGTGCTATATTTTCAATTCAAACCATTTTATACTGCTTGGAAAAATTTCAAATCAAACCATTTTATTTTCTAATCAAATCAACCATAATTTGCAGTTTTAAACCACAATTTACCTATCGATTTATAGTAATATATTTAAAACAAGTTGACATATAAGTTTAAACAAAAAACTAATAATGTTAAACTAAATTCATATTTACCATGAAATCGATGAATTAATTGTTTTCAAAGTTGATTGCTAAAAAATATTAATAGAATAAATACGTCTTTCTTCACTTTTATTTACTTTTTCTTGTTTCATTTTCATATTATCATATATCGGTTA